GCAGCCCCAAACCTGCAAGGAACCTCCACCATGCTTCACTGTTGCCTGCAGACATTCATTACTGGACCACTCTCCAGCCCTTCGGTGAACAAACTGTCCCCTGCTACAGCCAAATATTTCAAATGTTGACCCATCAGCCCAGAACACCTGCTGCCATTTTTCTGCACCCCAGTTCCTATGTTTTTGTGCATAGCTGAGTCGCTTAGCTTTGTTTCCACATCGAAGGTACGGCTTTTTGGCTGCAGTTCTTCCATGAAGACTACTTCTGGCCAGACTCCTCCGGACAGTAGATGGGTGTACCTGGCTCCCACTGGTTTCTGCCAGTTCTGTGCTGATGGCACTGCTGGACATCTTCCGATATCAAAGGGAAGTAAGTGTGATGTGTCTTCCATCTGCTGCGTTAAGTATCCTTGGCCAACCACTGTGTCTACAGGCCTCAGTGTTGCCCATTTCTTTGTGCTTCTTCAAAAGAGCTTGAACAGCACATCTTGAAACCCCAGTCTGCTTTGAAATTTTTGCCTGGGAGAGACCTTGCTGATGCAGTATAACAACCTTGTGTCTTGTTGCTGTGCTCAGTCTTGTCATGGTGTGTGACCTGTGACATGAAACTATCTTCTACAACCTCACCTTAGTAGCAGAGTTTGGCTGTTCCTCACCCAGTTATAAGCCTCCTACATAGTTGTTTCAGTTAATGACTGTGTTTCAACCTACATATGAAATTAAAGATCATTAGCACCTGCTTGGTATAATTGGTTAATCATACACCTGGCTCTAATCCTACAAGATCCCTGACTTTTGGCTTTCAATTCTGCAGTTGCTTGTGACTTTTTATATATATATAAATGACTTTTTTATATATAGTACTGTGCAAAAGTTTTAGGCAGGTGTGAAAAAATGCTGTAAAGTAAGAATGCTTTCAAAAATATATATTGTAATTGTTTATGTTTTTGAAAGCATTCTTACTTTACAGCATTTTTTCACACCTGCCTAAAACTTTTGCACAGTACTATATATAAAAAAGTCATTTATATATATATAAATGACTTTTTTATATATAGTACTGTGCAAAAGTTTTAGGCAGGTGTGAAAAAATGCTGTAAAGTAAGAATGCTTTCAAAAATATATATTGTAATTGTTTATGTTTTTGAAAGCATTCTTACTTTACAGCATTTTTTCACACCTGCCTAAAACTTTTGCACAGTACTATATATAAAAAAGTCATTTATATATATATAAAAAGTCACAAGCAACTGCAGAATTGAAAGCCATAAACAATAGGCCAGCCAATGTTTTATGCCTTAGTATTTTAATAGAATACTCTAAGGAAAGCGCAAAATCCCAATTTTGATACCTGTGTACTTTTCCTCCATAGAATGGCTTGGTGTGGAATGTGACAGTAGCAGAGTAACCACTCTTGGCACAGTGAATATTGACTTTGCCTCCAAGCTCCACCCAAGGAACAGTAAGTATAGAACGTGCATAGGCACAAGGTAACGTGAATATATATTCCTCCTCGTGTTCCAAGAGATAAAGAATGCCTATGGATGTGATGGGAGAAGGGGAGATTAATATTGAGAGTTTTTGGGAAGCTGATCATTTTTAAAATGTATGCTTAAACAAAGCAGTTTGAGAAAGTTGAAATATTAATCTTCCTTGTAACTTCCTTCAAGGGGAAAGAATGCAAAGACGGGTGGAGGTAACAACAATTAATGAATTTTTGCACCTGACCTTTTGTTGAATCCTTTTCAACTGTTATGTTTACAGTTAGTGTAGAAGCCATATAATTAATCAAAATAGATAAAATCAAAGAACAGCCAAGAAATCCAAATAGGTTCTCAGTCTCTAAGCTTCACTAACCTCAGAAGCTTCAAGAAAATAGTTTTACTACATCCTTGAATGGATGAATAGAAAGAAAATTTCAAGATGCTCCCCTTGATGTTTGATAACATTAATTCTCTTTCCTACCTCATGCCAATTCTGAAAAATTACTTGCTTGGTTAAATTAAGTTCAAAATGTCAGGTATCACTGTTTGCACATGAGATGCCTGATATGGCATGTAGATATTGCTGCCATTATCTGGCAGTACAGCTGATAATTTAGTAGCCTTAAAAATAAGATATCCTTCTATCTTATTAGCTACCAATTACATTTACCTTGGTATAAGGCAAGCAGTGTGTATTGACCAGTATATTTATTACCAAAACACACACAACCTGGAATACACTGTTCAGTGATCCCTTGCTTTGTTCTGTTAAATTAAAAGATAAAAGCTTCCAATTTCCCATCTACCAGAAAATCTCAGACAAACCAGTGTTACAGTTACTGCTTCTTTGAGACAAGGTAAGGTAGACCATAGTGGTAAACACTGTTCCCCCTCAACATACTTTCTGCAGATCATGCTGATGAAATACCAAGATGGCATGCAAGGTTCATCAACCATGGGTGGGAGAATTCTAAGCCTTCAGATGTGCTGAATTATACTTCCCAGCATACTTCATAATGTTGCCCAAAGTTGCTGGGTATTAAAGTTCAGTAGTATCTGGAGGGCTACAGATTCCTTGTCCTGGGCTGATACAATTACAGTTAACTAAAACGCTAAAGAGGCATAATCTAATTTGATTGTATATGGGATGGATTATATTAATGGCAAAAAGATGGTACACAGGCTTAACTGCCATCCTGTTAGAAAGGATCCTCCTTCATCTCTACTTTTTTTTCACATGGTATCCATTAGGCTAGGATTCAGCTGCAACAAATGGCAGTTGCATGGATTTGCAGAAATCAAGGGACTGTGAAGCAACACTCAATATGACAGATTTGAAATTTTGTCTATCATGTTATGAATATGATAACATTTTATAATCACATGAGCACCTATGATTGGGATGGAATATTATATATTCCACAGAACAGGGATGGGCAACCTCCAGTTGTCTTACATTGTAACTCTCATTATGGGGATTTGTAGTTCAAATATCTGGAGATCACCAGGTTGCCCACCTTTGCCATAGGAAATCCAAAACAGATACATCTTGAATTATTAGAATCAACTTCACAAATAAGAGATACTATCACTTCCTATAAGGCTAATTAATCTGAGAAGGTGCTGCTGGGGGACTTCTAGGCTGTCCTTTTTGTTCTGTGAGGTATTAGAAGGATGGGTGGATAAAGAGAATAAAGGAGATTCCCAGAAATTCATTTACCACTCTCACTGATGAAGTTCCTATATTACACTAAGCCATAATGTGATTTGTTTCTAGCTTAACATGGCCACTAAAGCCATCTGTTATGGTTTAGCATTATGTATATCATCTTGTACCTCAAATTATGATTAAACATCCTAGCTTAGCATTATTCACTCTCTTGGAAATCAGTTCTACCATGCACTTCTACAGCACAATAAAGCATACACATATGCGAAAAGCCCAACTATAATCTAAACAAAAGATTAAATTGTATATACATTTTTAAAAGAAGAATACATCCTCTATAAAAAAAAACCTGTAGATATATGTGGAACATTAAAGAATTGAATATTAACACAAACTGTATATATATTAACAAAGCAAATCACAAATCACTGCTTAACAATCAATTTTTCTCCTTTTCTGACCATACGTTGAATGTACTGACACTTGACCCTTATCTAAATAGCATTTCTACTCATTTTTGGTCTGGAGGCTGAACATTGCCTCAAATGCTTTACTGCTTTTATTCCAAGTAAAATGCAGGGGAGGGGGATGACAACAAATCCTCAGTTTTTTCTATTATTCTTTTTGATAAGCAAGCGTGCTATAAAACATAATCTCTTTGTGACACTTCTTACCTTCACCTACCATAGAAACACCTACAGACATTCCCATGAATTTGCTTTTGGTCCATACGTGAACATTCACGCACACTTTCTTCTCTTTGCACTCGCAGTAAAAACTGGACACTGGTGGATGATGGGACACTTGTTCAGCTACAAATCTCAGCCTGTAACATTCAGATGAAACTTGCCCCTTGTGACCACAAGAGGCACTGTTTGTTCTCATTGGTTTTACCCTGTCCTTAGGCACATCCCAAGAGCAATGAAATGTTTCTCCAATTATTGGATTATATGGCTTCTTGGCAACAGCTCCTTTTCGGCCTTCATGAAAGGCTGTCAAATAGTACTCCACAAAGGAGATGATTCTTTCCTCAGGAGTGGTTCCAGATGAAATCGATAAAAACAGGTCTGGATGGGCCAAGAAGTTTGCAAACATCTCCAGCAGAGACCTCTTCTCCAAAATAAAGGCTGGAAGGACTACCTATATTGAACACAATAAAAAGAAAGCAATCATTTTGTCATAACTGCATGAGGGAAGGATAAATAGTCAAGCTAGCTGCAATTCTTTGCAGAATGCAAAAATCAATCTTTTCTCCCCTTTTCAGAATTCAAGTATAAAGACAAAAGGAGCACCTACTGTATAATGCTAGTCAATCACACAAACCACTGCATTTCTCCAATCCCTACTAGACCTTCAAGTAACAAAGTCATACTATTCAAACTGCCTGGATTTTTTCACTACCACATTCCACTTAATTACTGAATTAGACAATTATTCACTGATTCATTCATTCATTGTTGTCCAATGTAGCAGAACGGTTTGATTTAAGTTAATTAAGTTCCAGAGAAACCTGCCAATTCCAGCAGTTGGCAGGGTAGATGACTCAAAGAAATCTGTTTATCAAAGAATGGCAACGAGTCCAGTGTTTCACTATTGAGAAGAATTAAGTTGATTCTAACAGTCACATAGTCTATATTAAAGCTTTCCATTCTCTCTCTCTCTCTCCTTTGTACATAGTTTTTTAGCTTTCCCATACAGAAAAGCTCTTACTTCTACAACAAGTTGCATTTATAGTTATAATTTTGAAGATGTTCTTTCAATAATTTCTTTCTTTCTTGGATTTATATGCCACTAAATCCAAAAAGACTCATGGCAACTTAAAAGAGCAACAATTAGAACATCCACAGTAACAGGCAACAAAATCAAAGTATAGAATAAATGTCCACATTAGATATAATACAACATTCATGGCAAGTAACATAACTTTTTTTTTTTTTTTTTGGTGGCTTCAAGTCAGTTTTTGATTCCTTATGACTGCCTGGACTAATCCCT